CACGATCGTGATGACCAATTCTATTGGTTTATTGACGCGCTTAAACTTCGCAAACCGTACATCTGGGAATACAGCCGCCTTAATATGACAAATACTGTGTTGTCTAAGCGTAAGCTGACTTGGTTTGTCGAATCGGGATTAGTCGATGGATGGTAATAATGGTATATATTGTTTTTGATATTAACTCAACAAAATATTTATAGGGATGACCCACGTTTTCCGACAGTGCGAGGCATCATTCGCCGGGGAATGACTGTTGAAGGTTTACGAGAATTCATAATTGCTCAAGGATCTAGTAAATCAGTAGTCTTTATGAATTGGGATAAAATATGGGCATTCAATAAAAAAGTAATTGACCCAATTGCACCTCGGTACACGGCTCTCAATTATGAAAACCGTGTAGTCATAAATGTTGAGGGCGCAAAAAAAGAAACTGTTGAAGTACCTGTGCATCCGAAAAACGAAAGTCTTGGAAAAAAAACTGTCACATTTGGTCCCCGCGTATATATTGATTATGAGGACGCTGTTACCTTGAAAGAAGGTGAAAATGCTACATTTATAAATTGGGGAAATTTGTTAATCAAAAAGGTGTACAGAGATAGCAATGAAAAAGTAATAAAGGTTGATGCCACTTTAAATTTGGACAATAAAGATTTCAAAAAAACATTAAAACTTACTTGGTTGGCTGAGGAAGACGACGAGTCTGCATATCCACCTACATACTGCGTTTACTTTGATAACATTATTAGTAAGGCGGTTTTGGGCAAAGATGAAGATTTCAAACAGCACATTGGTCACAAAACCAGAGTAAGTCCCAAATCCCATTTAAGATTTTTCTAAAATCTTTACAATAATTTAACAAATAACAGGAGGAATTGAAAATGCTGGGTGATCCTGAACTCAAAAAATGTAAAAAAGGTGATATCATTCAGCTTCAACGGCGTGGTTTCTTCAAAGTTGACGTCGCTTATGCTCCAGCCAGTCCTTTTTCAAATGCTATTACACCAGTCATTTTGTTCTCAATACCAGACGGTCACACCAAAGATATGCCTTCATCAGGATTGAAAATAAACGCTAACTCAAAAGACGTCCGCAAAAATGTGAGTATGACAGTTAGGTCAAATCGCAAAATAGACAAATATTATCTGAAGGGTCCGTTATCAATTACTTTCTGCTTTATAGCAGAATTCAAGGTACATTGAACAGGTAGTATCAGTAGAGCAGCTGATTTGATT